AAGATCTATCTGCAGTTGACTGCCTACAATATTTCTACCTAGTTTATCTAGCTATAATACTATCTCTGAAATGTTTGCTTTTATACCCCAACTCATCTTGAACTCACTACTGCTTGGCTTTTGGGAGACGCACCACTCTTACTGCGCTTTTTCTGTCTCCTTCAGGGAGTCTTCTCTACCAACTTAGCAGAAGGGCCTTCCACCAGGTGCTTTCTCCAAACATCTTGTCTCTAATATCTTCCTTGACTTCATCAGCTCCCACAACTATTATTTTTCACGGAGAGTTCCAAAGTTTAAATTCTAACTGCCTACTGCTTATTTTTATCTCAGATGTTCTAGGGAAAGGGCTGGCAAACTTCTCTATAAAGGACAGATCGTAAGTAATTTAGGCCCTGCAGGCCATATGGTCTCTGTCACAACTACTCAACTCTACTGATGGGGCGCAAAAGCAACCAAACATACGAGTATAGCTGCATTTATAAATTATTTGCTGATCATTTAAATTTCATATAATTTTCATGTATCATAATGTATCTTCTCTGGACTCAAAAAAATTAAATACAAAAATAATTCTTAGCTCTTGGGAAAAACAGTTGGCAGGCTGTATTTGGCCCTTGGGCCATTAACCAACCACTGTTTTACAGGTATGCCCCTCAATTATTTATTCCTTCTTCTCCACTGGGATTTTGCTTCCTGTTTAGCATATTGCTATTTTAAAAATAAGAGTTGTGTTTTGTGTGATTTCCTACAGGTAAGATTTTGTCTAGCATGAATTTGTGGAAAACAAATATGGATACAGCACTCTCATTTTCAGATAAGGAAGGTAAGGTCCAACTTGGGATTTTTCAAGGAGTTAAGCCATGCTGAAGGCAGCACTAGAACTCAATTTTCTAGAGTTTTCAGACCAAAATTCTAGACGGATTGCCACAATGAAGTCAACTGCCTACAATGTATGGTTTATTATCTTTCAACACAGAAAGAAATAGAAAATATCATGGTTCTTTTTAGATCTACAATCTATATTATATTGCATCCTTGAAAACATGCTTGTTTTCTTCCTGGTTTGATGCCCGGTTGCGACTCTTAGTTCTTAGGTTAGCAGCAAAGGACTAGTGGATGAGAGGAAGGAAAGTTTAATGAAGCATGGGCAAAGTTCAACAGATTCAGGTTAAGGGAGAAGTAAAAATCTTTTCGTGGGTGTGGAAGGATGCTAGGGATTGAACCCAGGCCTAAGTACTGAGCTACATTCCTAGCTCATTTTTTATTTTGAGAGGGTCTTGCTAAGTCACTAAATTGCCCAGGCTGCCTCAGTCTCCCAGAATGCTGAAATTACAGATATGCAACGTCACACCTATCCTGAAGTACAAATTTTCCTATGCATAATGAAAATCTAGATGACAACTATCACAGGAATGTTGGCACAGAAAGAGAGCTAAAGTCCTTTATTGGATTAAAAAGCAAGATACATTTGCTAGTGTATCAAAAGAGAGTGGATTTTTTTTGTAGCTAACACTTATTTTATCCTCTTAAATGTATTTCTTAGAGTTCTTTTAGAACTCATTCAGAATTCAGAATTGCTTTAAGAATATTATAGTATTCACTTTGTTTTTATGAGGTTATTAAGGTCACAGGTTCTTTTTTCTACTTCTTAAATTTTAGGACTGTGAGAAATGTATTAATCCTTACTTTGTTCAGAAACTACATGTGTTTTTTAGTCATGGGCCAATTTGGCATGGTGTATTTTAATATTCCTATTTTATATTATTTTTAATATCTATTTTAATGAAAGAACTTTATAAAAACCTAAATTATAAATGCTATTTTGCTTTGTGAAAAAACAGAACAAATCAACAAATATACAAAGGAAAATGTTCAGCATTTGTAGAAAGTTGCATTAGGTAGGACACCAATTGCGAATATAAAATCATGAACAGGTATTATGATTCTACCCTCATGCCAAGTTATACTTTTTAAACACAATGATGTTGACCTTGCTTATGCTTCTTTTGTTACTATATTAACAAGAAACCCTTTAATAGTTTTGTTTCTTGAGTGTGTACTTCATCATAAGCAGAATTTGGTCCTAATTAAAATGGGATTATCATGGGGTATTATATCCAAGAAATGAGCTTCTGAGACGGGTATTCCATTACATATTTTTTAAATAGACATAATGAAGGGCCGAACATATTATCCCTTTCAAATAACAGCTCTTTGGAAAATATGTCTAGCTTTGGTAAATAGATTTCTATGTTTGAATGAAAGATTAAATTAGTACTATGCATTTTTGAATGTTTAGAGAAATTCACTGTCAGAACCAAAGTAAAGTAGTTCAGCATGTCTAGAGGTCTGTTTTCTTTTTAAAAAAAAAAGTGCTTTTTGCTTCTATAGTTTGATCATTCAGTATAGTGAGATAAAATAGTTTACAATAAGATACCTTGTAAACTAGTTTCATAAGGTGCTGTAAGAAAAAGACCCCTAAAATTCAATGGCTCAAAGAATAATGAAGTTAAACAAATACCACATCTCACTCACATGTGAGAGGCAAAAAGTTGATCTCATATATGTAGGGACTAAATCAGGGCTTAGTAAAGGCTGAGAAAAATGGCAAAGAGGAGAAATTGGGGAGAATTTGGTTAAGAAGTGGATAGGAAGAGTAAGTTCTACTGTTCTATAGCATAATGGGTTGACTATATTAATAGTAATTTATTGTATATTTCAAAATAACTAGAAGAAAGGATTCTGAATGTTCTCACCATAAAAAAAAATTATAAATGCTTGAGGTGATGGTTATGCTAATTACCAAGATTTGATCTTTACATGTTGTACACAGGTATCAAAATACCATACTGTACCCCATATACTGTATATGTAGAATAACTCTGTGTCAAATTAAAATAAGACATTTTCTAAATAGAAGTTATCTGTCTTTCAGGCAATAGTCCAAGACAAATATTTCATCTTGATAGGAAGCTGATCCCACCATCATTGTTGATCTGGTGTGACGGCTGCCCTGCCACCTACAGTTGGTTTCTAGGGTTGCTCTGGTGGTCACCATTCCAGCTGGTTGGATGGAGAAAATGGAGAACATCTCTGGACAGATGAGGAAGAAGCTCCTCAAATCACTCATACTCATATTCCACTGGCAAATATCAGGTCACATGGACACACCGAGTGATATGGTTTCAATATAAAGTATCCCCCAAAACTCATGTATTGGGGGCTTGATCCTCAATGCAGCAGTGTTCAGATATGAGGCCTGCAGAGGTGACTGGATCATGAAGACACTATCATCATCAATCGATTAACTGATTGATGAGTTATGGCTGAATGGGTTATTAGGAGATGAGGCAAAGGAAGTAGGTCACTGGAAGATTGCCTTTGAAGGCTACATCTTGTCCTTTGCTGCTATGACAGTTCTAAAATATCCCCCAAAAGGCTCATGTTCAGAGATGGGGCCTACTTGGAAAGGGCAGGTAAATGGAGGCATGATTTGAAAGGGTGTAGTCTCATCCCCAGATCCTCCCTTCTTTCTCTGCTTCCTGGCTGCTCTACCATACCCTCTCCACCATGATTCATACACCTCAGGCCGAGAAACAATGAAACCACACAACCATGGACGGAACCTTCTGAAACTGTGAGAAGAAATAAATCTTTCCTTCTTATTCTAATATTCCCAGGTATTTTGCCATAGTGATGGAAATCTAACACACCAAATCACAAGGGAGACTGGAAAAAGCAGTCTCTCCATGAGCTCAGAAAGAGGGAATAGAAATAATGAGAAACTGTACTGTCCATACGCTCTGATTGGAAAAACTATAAACAACTAACAGTGTGCAATGCAAGGTCTTTAGACTGTCATACAAACACAATAAAATGTAAGAAATAAACAAGTTAATCTGCTTCTATTATGAAAATATTCATCAAGGTAAAAACCAAGGCAGGCCTCTCCAATTTTGTCACCACATCAAAAAGATTTGTGTTACCAAACACACAGAGGAAATAGCTAAGTGAAAATAAATCATGTTCTAAAAGCTGGGAATTCATTTTCTCATAGAAACAATGTCCTGAAAATGGCCAGGTTCCAAAATTATTTCAAAAGGCCTTGTTTACCTTATGTGATACATCCGCACTGAAGAAGTGGCTGGAAGACAATGCTGGACTACAGTACTCAAAATGGGAAAACTGTTGATTACTAAAAATTTTAAGGTATAGTTTTAATAAGGAAGTGAAATTTAACTGAAGAAGGATATGCTGGGGTGTGAGGATGAAATGAATATTTAGTGTGGAGTCAAACTGTAGAGTCAAGAACATCAGGACAGAGTTCTCTAATTTAAACACACACCACAATGTGTGACTTTGCCTCTTCCTCCTTCAAAGTTTATCAAAAGCCAAACATGAAAGCTTATTAGTCATACACTGCAGGTAGATATGGGAAACAAAATCGAAGGGAGAAAGTAATGACTACAAGTGTAGGAGTGGGGATTCTATAGAGTAAATAGGAAAGAGAAGGGAAGGGAAAAGTGTCACATATACATCTCTGTCTACATGTACATGCAAAGAAGGAGAGAAGCAGAAGGGAAGGATGACTTTGAGGGTTGTGGAAGGGACAAAGATAGAGGCACTATTTCTTTGGGAATGGATGAGAATAACTTTGAATTGAGCTTTTCCTGGTCTGACCACTTAAAATTTATTTCATTACTGCCTGCAATGAGGGACTCAGATTCGAAGCAGCAGTGTGCAAGTAACCCCTTACAGAGAGGAATTCAGGGAGATACTGACTCGTTTCGTTTTTCTTTAATTGGCACATAGAAAGATCATGGTCTAACATTAAGGGAAGAAAATATATCAAAATGTAAACTAGAGGAATCTTTACAGCAGAAGATTCCTAAATTAGTCTAGGGGAAACAAAAGGTACCTTGCAATAGTCTCTAATCAATATGCCCAGCCATGTTGGGTCTTTTAAATATATATTTATTTTCTTCTTTCTAGCTGTTATGTTTTAGTTCAACTTGATAGTTTCCCTACTGCTTACAACATGACTTCTAAGGATGCTTGATCTTGAGTAAAAAGACAATTTTGAGCAGCTTGATCTGGGGGTGAGTTGCATCTTAAATACCATGGAGGGCTGTTCTTTGCAACCCTGACTGAATGCTCACAGATTATTGACTGTGGAGCTCACCAAGGGATGCTGGTTTCTCTCACTTGACAACTGCACATTCTATATTCACAGACATATGACATTTGGGCTCCTCTAAAATGGTCTCAAATTGCTTAAAAGCCATACTTGGTCTAACAGTGGCATAGGCAGCCACAGACCTCAACATGGGTATAGAGAAGCCAACCTTTACAGCCCAGACCTGGAACAAAGATTTCTTTAACTGCTGAATGTAAAAATGCCCCTCTGAAAATAAACGAATTCCCCCATTGGCTGCAAACTATTTAATCAAATGGTTTTGGAAGTTTGAGAGACACTAAGACAACACCAAATATGTTGGCATAATATTTCTCACCAATTTCTGCTATTCTAGCTTATTGCAACATTAATTGTTTTGCAAAGAGGTAAAAGCTGGTGAGACAAACGGTAGAAATGGTGTGAAGTTTAATAAAATTTTAAAAAATGGTAGAGGAGGTTTTTAAGAATAATTGTTTGTATTCTGTCTCAAGTCTTAACTCTGACCCCAATTAGTTGCATTATCTTGAGCAGGTCACTAGACGACATCTGAAGATTTGATTCCTTGAGTGGAAAATGAAGGGATTGGATGACGTGAGTTCTATGACTCCTTTCAGCTCAACTGGCTCTGGTTATCATGTGTTCAGCTTAGGTTTTGCAATGACAAGGAACTTTATTGGCAGCCTCTGATTTTATGGATGGAGCACACTGTTTCATGCCTATGCAACATTGCACTGAACAGGCATCTCACAACTGTTCAGATTCCTCAGTTAGAGGGCTTAGGTTGGGGTAAGCAGCTTGATAATTTGTGCCTAGCTCTAAAGACTTTTTGGAAAGCTGCCATATGACTTGTAAGAAATTTTTTCTACCCAATCTGGGATGCTAAGCCAACCAGACAAAGTGACAAATGCATTTGCAGTCAACACCAAAACATTCTCTAAATATTACTCTTTTGCTCAACCCTGCCCTGCTATCCAGAACTCTCATTCAGAACAATAATGCCAAGTCTGGACTAAAATTCTGAAAAAAAACCCACTCACTTTCTTTTAACAATGACACATCAGGGGCCTGGCTTTGAGTATTTTCATTTGCAGTAATATTTGAGTTAGGATATTTATCAGCAGAATGAACAAAACCCAAAAATAAATACAAAGTCAAACGCATATAGGAAGGAAATGGTTCTGTCTAATACTCACCACCTGGGGACTAACAGCTACCTCTGGCACTGGTACTCGGAATCATCGCCAAGACATCAAGTCCCTTCTTTTCATGCTCCTAAGGGAAAGGCTGGATTTCTGGTCTCATAATCAACTCAATGTTCTACCACAAGCCACCATATAAACAAATGCCCCTCACTAAAAATCAGGCCTCTAACCTGAAGCTTCTGGTTCCAGTAGGTGTACTGAGGCTAACAGTTAACACGATGTAGGTCTACTACATGCCAAACACAGCAAGTATTTCAACAACCCCATGTGGTAAGTATTCCATATCATCGTTCCCTTTAACACTTGTGGAAACATTAAACTGCCCAAAGTCAGCACCAGTGCCACCACTAAAGACAGATACTGATGCCAGGCACTTGTACTTCACAGCCTGCCTAGGCCCATCCAGAGTGCTCTGTTCTCTTGCCTCTAAGGGTAGTGTTAAGGTGGCTGGGAGGATGAAGAAGGGGATAAAAGTGACAAACAGCATCTTCTAACTCAGTACATTACATTCTCAAATCTTCTGTCCTTTTGACAGCCGTCTTGCTCAGGTTGAGGTCTCTGAAGAGAGCTCTGAAAAGTGCATTAAATTGCTTTTCATTTATCTAACAAAAAAACTCAAGTATCTCTCATGCATAGCACCTCTCTGGCTATTGCAGAACAGGTCTGAAATCACAGAAAATACCTCCAATGTTGTCCATGTCCTAGGAGGATTATGATCCGGTACCTATGGCTTTTCAATTCTCTTCCAAACTCATTGTACTTCCCATGCACGGTTTTCTGTCTATATATCCACCTGTTTTGTTAACAAAATAGACTATTAACAAATAGACTACATTATCAAAACAGATCATTTTTAGAGATTTAAATTGTAATCACTCATACTAATCACTGTATAAAATTATCCTAAAGATGTCCTAAAACTTTCATAAGAAAATATTTATGTGCAAATTAGTTCAAATCTGAAGTCACCATTTCTTCCCTTTTCACCTCTAAACTACTAGAAATGATAACTAAAATCATCTGCTTTAACCAATTCTGTCATTGGGTCTCCATTGGTTTTTTTCTGCACAGCATCGGGCTTGGGTGTTGATTGCCAAGATGTGGTATTTTAGCTACCATATTTCATATTATCTTGCTTTTTAAACTTACAATATTTTTCTAAAAACTTCCTTTTATCTTTTTATTTGTTCCTGCATAATATGTCCAGGCAGGATAAGATCTCTTACCTAGAAGGACTTCCAGGGTAAAATCATCACTGTTCTTATATTACAAAAGAGGGGAGAGAATGACATACTACCCTTTCTTTAATTTCTGACACTTGGATTCTCATAAATAGTGCTTCTGTTTTAACCACCATTTCCCTAGGGATTATCAAGTGCTAATATTAAAGCAACAACAAAAACAAAAAACACCTCTGCCCTGAGGAGAAGAGATTTCTTTTCCTCAGATTTCTCTCTGAAACTCCCCAAAACTGAATTGATTATCTACTTCCTCCTTGAATCACTGGAGAAGTGCTCAGCCTTTGTTCTCAGTCTGATGTGATGTCATGACCCCAATTAGTGTGTAGACTTCCCAGTTTTGAATGCCAAGGGCAACAAGCAACATTGGGCCATTTCCTCTTAGGGTATCAATTGTTTTGTTTGTTCATTTGTTATAAGGCTCTAGTGACTAGTATAGCTCATCAGATTTTTTAAAAAATATCAATGCTCAGGGGCCAGGAATTTAGCTCAGTGGTTCCACCGCCTGCCTTGCAAGAACAAGGACCAGAGTTCGATCCCTGGTACCAAAAAAAAAAACAAAAAACCAATGCTCAGAAATATAGGCTGAGTATCCCTTATGTAAAAATCTGGAGTCCAAAAGTGCCCCAAATCCAAAAATTTTTTAAAGCACCAATATGATACCACAAAAGATCCATTCTGATGGTTCAATTATACAAACTTTGTTTCATGCACAAAATTATTTTAAAATATTGTATAAAATTATCTTCATGCTAATGAAGATATGATTATCTTCATATCTACTTCATAAAAAGTAGATATGAAACGTAACTGAATTTTATGTTTAGACTTGGGTCACTTCCCCAAGATACTTTATTATGTATATGCAAATATTTCCAAATCCAAAAAAATCCAAAACCCAAAACACTTGCATTCTCAAGTAATACAGATATAGGATACTCACCTTGAATATGAATTAAATGTTAGGAGTGAAGTCACAGAATGGATTATAAAATATAACAGAATTATATTCACTGCATATTATCTATCCTACAGCTTTCCTAACATTTTTTAGTTGTATAGGTCATTTTTAGAAGCTGAAAGGAAACTGTTTTTGCTGTGTCTCTTCTTTTCAGATGGCACAAATTTTTCTAATTTGTTATTCAGTTTCAGAATGTCATAGCTAGGTACAACAGTTTAGGCAATTGTGTAAGTCCTTGTAAGCACAATGCACCCCTAACTGGTAATGCTGTCCTCCTGGAATAATCACACATCCTTGAGGGATATCAGACAGGGAAGGGGAAAGGAAAGAGACTTCCACGACCCAGCAGGATCAGCCAGTCAATGCTGGGCTTCAAAGGAAAGACACAATTGTTCATATCAGTGGTCCAGCTGAGGGATGTGCAGGAAGGAAAGGGACTTGCCCAAGATCACAAAGCTAATTTGTGAACTAGAACTCATCAGGTCATTTTCCTTGATGGTGCCTTACCTGATAAAAGACCCCAAAGGCTAGAAATGTCCTTTAAGACGCTTATAGTTTTCAAGTCATAGTCACCTTTTCCCCTAATTTGCTTAGAAATTGACTTGGAAACATACCAACCCTTCCGAGATAAAATAGGACACTAACCTATTTTGCTAGGGGAGCAATCCATGATGAAGCATTGTTGCCACTGAACCTGCCCAGTCTTCACCCTTCACTCTCCTCAGCACACTCTGTGCACCATCAGAGCAACTAGCCTAATCCAAACTCTCAATCTGAAATTCTATTTGACCTTTTCATCTTAAACCACACCAATTCTATGCTTCCCTCTCCCTCTCTGCTTTTTGACTGTCTCACTCTTTATCACAATGGTAGTGTGCAGATTTTGAAGTTAGATTTCCTAGGTTTGAATACCAGCTCTGCTACATCTAACAGGAATCTTGAGCAAATTACTTAATCTCTCTATGCCTTGATTTCCTAATCTATAACATGGGTAAAAGAATAGAACTTACTTCATAAGGTTGTCGTAAGGATTAAAAGAGTTAATACATGAGCATTTAGAACAATGCCTGGTGCAGAGTATACTGAAATAGAACACTGTAATTACTTGTTTTGACGAAAGTATCTTCGCACCTAAGAGCCTCCACATAATAATTATGAGCATTAGTATAACAACAGTATTTATGTACCAGGTACTGTTACATTTTAACACACATTATTTCATTTGTTCTTCACATTAATATTATCTTTTTGTGCTATATTATCCTGCACTTCTCCTCTTTTGTTTTACAGACAAGAAAATTAAAGTTAGAGAGCTTAACCAACTTGCTTGCTTGTGGTTATCCAGGCAGTAAAAAGCAGAGCCAAGATTTGAACCAAGATCTATCCTGCTGTCTTTCCAAGCTGTCCTAGAAAAGGGCCTTAGTTCTCTTAAAGTTGTTGTCTTTAATTACTTGGCTGAACTCCCATACAGGCCAGGAAAGGTGGGATCTCTCAGAAGCTGAAGAGCAGCAGGAGGGGACAAGGTTGGGACAAGGACAGTAATCAGTGTCTTAACCAAGTCACCCCTGAAGTCCACCATGCCACGTGGGGCCCATGTATGGTATTGCTGGAGGCCACACCTGAGCCCTGGTTAGCTGAATGTCATGTCAAGAGATGTGGTTCTAATACCAGCCAAAGTGGTAGTATTGCCTGCTTTGGCAGTACACTGGTGAGCATAGCTGCTGTTTCCAAAGTGGTAGTATTAATCATTTCCATATGAGTAGTTCCTGGGGTTATTAATTTTTGCCCCAACTTTAAGGCAAAGGGAGCTTCTCTTCCAGTCTCAGAGTAAAATATAAGTATAAATACACACACACACACACACACACACACACTTGCACACACAGACTTTCCTCTCTTCCTTCAGTCTACGGTTGCCAGTAGTATCTTTCTCCAGTTGCTCTGCATCCACCCATTCTCAGTTGTCCATTAGTCTAAAACGGTATCTTCAGCAGAAGGTCTAGGGCTGGTGAACAGCCTTGAGAAGGAAGTCCTGCATTTGCTGAAGCTTCCCCATGCACTGCTTTGTCCGTGCTCCTATACCACCTTGGAGCTCCTCTGCTGCTTCCTTCACCTCTACACTGCACCCCATGCATTCCAGGGAACTCCCTTGAAATGCAGTCAATCCACGATACAGTATGGCCTCTGTTTCCACACCAGAAGCACCTCTGTAGGGACACCTCACTGCGCTGAATTTAGGAAGGGGAAGGGTGGGAAGGGACTTCTACTCAACTAGCCCCTTATTTCCCTCACCGAACTCACCATCACATTTAGGTGTCAAACTATTAGAAAATGCCAGGGAAACTGGAGATAGATGCTTGTTAGGTGGAGTGGTAGAAGAGCTGTCTGAAGAGACAGGAGTATGACTGCAGAGGAGGCCAGGGGAGATAGAAATCCAGGATACAGCAGTGTTGGCAGAGCAAAGACAAGCAGACAAGTTCATTTCAAGAGCCAGTGGGAGACTGGCTTGTGCATCTGAGAACATAAGCCTTAACCCAAGGGGCCCTTGTCCCAGTCCAGACTCTCTAGATCTACCTTCAATTTTTCTAATATCCTTACTTTCTTACCTGCTGGGCACCTTTCCTCAGTCCCAGGAGCTACCACCAGCTGCCGCCACTTGCCATGAATTACAGATAGGCGCAGGGAGACAGGGTTCCCAAGTTGCCTGCTAGGGAGAAAACATGTTCCTTGCATATCCAGTTGTACTCCGAATATATTTTCCCTTAGATACAAGGTCGTACACATTTGGCCTCTGCAGTACTTTTTAGTATGAGACGACAGTTGTTACAGGATTAGGACACGCTCTAATCAATATATGAGTGTGGCCTTGTGAAGTGGGTACTGTTGTTGCCCTGCTAGAGCACACATCCCTAGCTGCAGTGAGTGTTGGTTGTTCTCTGAGATCTTCCTTTGCCCTTGGGGGCAACAGAAGCTTTTTGGTCACCACAAATCCACTGCCAATGAGTGACTGACAATGGACGTGCAAAAGGCTGGCCTCCTTACCTCAAGGGAACCAACTTTATATAGTTCAATTCCTGCTCTATAGTTTCTTTCAGGATCAGGCCTGAACTGGTCTCTGGCAGGGATTATGTCCTTGTTCTGCTTTATCCCCCTGATCCATGCTACCTCCTTTATTCCCCTCTTCCAAATCCCTGTCTTGCGCTCTGTTTCCAGGGATCCTGACCAATACATCGTTATTCCATATGTGCATTAAAAGCCTCTTGTTGTCACCAGAGCTATCAAATGTATCTACGGGGAAAGCAAGGATGAAATGAGAAGGGTTGGCCAGGACCCCTTTCTTGTTCCTGGGACACAGTATCTGGCACCCATAACTTCAGGAAAGAAGAGATTTTATTTTGCCTCATGGTTAGAGTCCATGGTTGGCTGGCTCCAAAGCAGAAAATGGCATGACAGACGGACACGGATGAGGAAAAGCTGCTCATGTCAAGGGAACCAAGTGACAGAGAGAGAAGAGAAGAGCCAGGGAGGAAGGCGGTGACCTGCCTCTTCGGACTAGGCCCTACCTCCTCACAGCAAGTCAGGTGTATAGCTCCC